CACTACGCCCAGCTAATTTTTTGTATTTTTAGTAGAGACGGAGTTTCACCATGTTGGCCAGGCTGGTCTCGAACTCCTGACTTTGTGTCTGCCCACCTTGGCCGCCCAACATGCTGGGATGACAGATTGTTTATTCTTTTTTTTTTTTTTTTTTTTTTTTGAGATGGAGTCTCACTCTGTCACCCAGGCTGGAGTGCAGTGGCCGGATCTCAGCTCACTGCAAGCTCCGCCTCCCGGGTTCCCGCCATTCTCCTGCCTCAGCCTCCCGAGTAGCTGGGACTACAGGCACCCACCACCTCGCCCGGCTAGTTTTTTGTATTTTTTTAGTAGAGACGGGGTTTCAGCATGTTAGCCAGGATGGTCTCGATCTCCTGACCTTGTGATCCGCCCGTCTCGGCCTCCCAAAGTGCTGGGATTACAGGCTTGAGCCACTGCGCCCGTCCCAGATTGTTTATTCTTAGTGCTGTTTAGTATTTATTCAATCTACTGTTGCTGGGCATTTGGGTTGTTTCTAGTTTTTGGCCACTGCAAGGGTGTGGCTACAAATATTCTACATATATACTAATTTCATTTGAATTGTTTGATAGCATCATTAGATTGTTAGAGCAGAAGCATGTGTATGCAGATTTTGGAGAGGTTCGTGGCAAATTCTCATGATATTCTCGTTGACAAGGTAGACTAGATAAAAATATAGTTCGGTAGATTCCTAGTCGGCTGAATAACGTTGTGGAATAATGACAAATACAGAAAGGTCTATAGTGATAGACTATATGGCTCTGCTGATCCTAGTCAACATTTTAATTTTTTTATTTAAAAAAATTTGTTTGAAACTGAGTCTTGCTCTGTTGCCTAGGCTGGATGCCCTCTAGGGGAGGGCATCTCTGCCCTCGAGGTTAACTTGCAGTTGCCTCCATATTATCCTAACCCCATGGTCCCCTCCTGTCCCCGGCCCTGAAGCAGGAGGTTGGGCTCCACTTCAAGAGCAGTGCACTTGGCTGGGCTCTGGGGCCACTGGTCAGCTGTATCCGCTGAGGTGGGAACAAAAAGCCCTGTCAGCACTGCTGCCTGCCATACTCATTTCCTGCTCCCACAGCCAAGAGGCCCTGGAGGAAGCTGGGCTTTGAGGAAGAGGAGGACTAGCTCTCTTCAGTCAGTTCCCTCTGCTCCCTGGTTTCTTTCTGTAGGATTCCCTTCCTCATTCAAACTGAGCCTTCTTTGCTCAGTACAGAGAGAAGATCAGGGCTAGAAAGTGTGTCAGTGGCTGAGGAATCAGGCTCAGAAATGGGGGAGGTGGGATACTGGTGGACAAAGAGAGGGATACATATGGATGGAGAGAGAAGTAGAGAAGAGTCTGGGCACAGTGAGTCACACCTGTAATCCCAGCACTTTGGGAGGCTGAGGCGGGAGAGTCACCTGAGGTCAGGAGTTCGAGACTAGTCTGGCTAACATGGCGAAACCCCGTCTCTACTAAAAATACAAAAATCAGCCAGGCGTGGTGGTGCATGCCTGTAATTCTAGTTACTCGGGAGGCTGAGGCAGGAGAACCGCTTGAACCCAGGAGGCGGAGGTTGCAGTGAGCTGAGATTGTACTGCTGTACTCCAGCCTGGGGAACAGAGCAAGATTGTCTCAAAAAAAAAAAAAAAAAAAAAAAAAAAAAAAAAAAAAGAGAGCAGTAGAGAAGCAATAGGGATTAAAAGGTAAACAAGCCACCCAGGTGCCATGACTCCTCCCTATAATCCCAGTCACTCCTCAGAAGGCTGAGGTGGAAGGATTGCTTGAGGCCAGGAGTTCAAGACCAGCCTGGGCCACATAGCAAGACCCTGTCTCTAAAAAAAGTAAAACAGCCAGGCGCGGTGGCTCACGCCTGTAATCCCAGCACTTTGGGAGGCTGAGGAGGGCGGATCATGAGGTCAGGAGTTTGAGACCAGCCTGACCAACATGGTGAAACCCCGTCTCTACTAAAAATATAAAAATTAGCCAGGTATGGTGGTGGGCACCTGTAGTCTCAGCTACTCAGGAGGCTGAGGCAGGAGAACTGCTTGAACCCTGGAGGCGGAGGTTGCAGTGAGCTGAGATCGCACCACTGCACTCCAGCTTGGGTGACAGAGGAAGACTCCGTCTCAAAAAAGAAAAATAAAAAATAAAACAAATTAGCCGGGCATGGTGGTGCACACCTTTGATCCCAGCTACTAGGGTACCTGAGATGGGAGGATCCTTTGAGCTCAGAAGTTTGATGCTGCAGTGAGCTATGATTTCTCTACTGCACTCTGGCTTATTTGACAGAGTGAGACCCCCATCTCCAAAAAAAAAAAAAAAAAAAAAAAAAAAATTAGGGCCAGGTGTGATGGCTCATGCCTGTAATCCCAGCACTTTGGGAGGCCGAGGCGGGTGGATCACCTGAGCTCAGGAGTCTGAGATCAGCCTGGCCAATATGGTGAAACCCTGTCTCTGCTAAAAATACAAAAAAATTAGCTGGGCGTGGTGGCGTATGCCTGTAGTCCCAGCTACTTGAGAGGCTGAAGCAGGAGAATTGCTTGAACCTGGGAAGCAGAGGTTGCAGTGAGCTGAAATCATGCCATTGTACTTCAGCCTGGGCGACAGAGCAAGACTCCATCTCAAAAATAAATAAATAAAAATAAATAAATAATAAAAAAATATAGGCTGGGCACCGTGGCCCACGCTGTAATCCCAGCACTTAGGGAGGCCGAGGTGGGTGGATCACCTCAGGTCAGGAGTTTGTGACAAGCCTGGCCAACATGGTAAAACCTCGTCTCTACTAAAAATACAAAAATTAGCTGGGTGTGGTGGCGCACACTTGTAATCCCAGCTACTTGGGAGGTTGAGGCAGGAGAATTGCTTGAACCCAGGAGGCAGATGTTGCCGTGAGCTGAGACCGCACCATTGCACTCCAGCCTGGGCAACAAGGGTGAAACTCTGTCTCAAAAAGAAAAATAAAATAAATAAAATAAAATATAAACAAGCCATGTATTTCCATTTCAGAATCTGCTATGGTAGTGGGTGGTGAATTGGTTGCTCGTCCCTCCTTTTCCCTACCTACATCCCTGGACAGAGCTGAGAAGAGAACCTTGTGGCACACGGCTCAGATTCTGAGTCTGAACTAGAACTAGTCCTGTAAGCTTATTCCAGTTTGGTGTTGTGACCTATGGTTACCTGGCAGGGAATCATAACTTTGTATTTGGAGATCCCATTCCCCTGACAATGTGGCACCATCCTTTGTGCCTGGTGTTTCTACTTGGAAACCTGGCTATGTTGTGGTTATGAGCCAGCCACAGAGCCTAGGATAAGGGCAGAGGTTACAGGCTGGGTAGAAGGGGCACTAGGTTGTTGAGTGGCTGGAGGCTGGAGTCCAGTGGGGAGTAAAGGATGGGTGACTGAGGAGGAGCAACAGATTTGAAAGATTTGTGGAGGGCAAGATACAGGCACTTTGGTCATTTTGTGGGGTGCTGCACACTAGTGTCTTTAATTATTAACTTAGCACTGGGGTGGCCTGGAGCTGTGGGTACATTTTTGCCCAGCCCTGTGATAAGGTTTGTTGTTTATTAGGCAGAAAGGCAAGCATCTGTATAGGACAGGAATGCCCCTTCTCAGGAAGAGCAGAAAGGAACTTGGGCAGTGAGTAGAATGAGGGTGGTGGTGGAAGGGAGGGTGAGAGAGAGCAGATGGTGCAGCTGTTCTGAGAGGCCAGTCTTCCCTGCTTCTCAGGATGAAGTAGCCAGAATGCGATGAGGCCAGGACACGACAAAATAGGAGGACTAGGGACACCAAGGCCACACCACTGCCAGGATAACTCAGAGTGTTTCTGACTGCTTCGGTGGCCTGAAGTAGGCAAGACCTGTACTAGGCCTCATTCTCTTGACTGGTAAGGCAGGGTGATGTTGACCTTGCCCTTAGAGCCCTTGGGAGAAGGGCTGTAAAATTAAGCCCTCCTTATAGTGTTCTAGTTGCTGAGCTGAGAAGGAGGGATAAATGAAGCGATTTGCTATGCTACCAGTGGGAAGATCTATGTTGTTTTTTCCAGCTTTCTTCTCTGCTACATCCTGGGGCTACTGGTCAACCTCACAGCATCTGTGGGCCTCCCTTTTTGAATTTCTTCAAGTAATTCAAATTCAAGTCGTAGACTGTAATTTTTTCGTTGGGGGAGGGATAATGGACTTCTTTGAGATTCTGATAAAAGCTATGATCCTTTTCTAAGAAAAGGTATGAACCTTTTTCTTAGGTATATCTGTATTAATATGGACATAACACTTTGGGAAAAAGAATTTTGAGCCTTATGGAGAACTTAGTTAAGAACCCTGGTAAAAGGACTACCTGTACTTCTGAGTAGAAGGACTGGGGGAATGTGTGTGGCTCTTATTTCTCTATTGTCCCATCAGGAAAAATGCCCTGTCCCTATTCTACAGGAGCCACTCTTAGCTGCAAGAATCTTTCCAAGCACAAAAGCAGGCAGCTGAGCTGCCAGGCAGTGGGCAGGAAATCTGGCCTTCATCCTAATCCTTGGCCACACGGCCTGACCTGCTGGCTCAGCATTGGTTAAGTCACAGCAGGACTCCTCAAGGTTAACAGTAATACCACAGAGTCAGAGTGCTATGTCCTGGAGCCCATGGGGAATGGGAGGTAGGAGGGAGAGACCGTGACTTTTCAGAGCCAAGAGCCGGAACAATCACTAATCCCGTATAGTTCCCAGTTGCCTCCCACTGCTGTGATTGGAAATCTGGATGTATTTTTTATGTAAGCAGATCTGCAATCACTTTGTTTTGTGTCTCCCATATAAGGTGCTGGGGGGTAGGGAGTATGGAGGCCTTTGCATGATAATGGTGAGGACATTCTGGGGTCTGAGGCTTCCAGTGCAGAGCAGGTCAGAGGGTCTGTCTTTGGCTGAAGGGTTTATCTTGGTGACTGGTACTGGAAAAATTGCTTGGGAGTCTAAGGTCCTACAGTGGTGAGGGTAAGTCACCAATCAGTATTATTTTTCTTTCAGGTCTCTTAACCTTCATTAACTGTGCCTATGTCAAGTGGGGAACCCTGGTACAAGATATTTTCACCTATGCTAAAGTATTGGCGCTGATCGCGATCATCATTGCAGGCATTGTTAGACTTGGCCAGGGTAAGAAATAATATTAGCAGCAACTAATCTTTGTTAAGCATTTTCTGTGAGCCACACTCCTCTAAGTGCTCTTCGTGCATTATCTCATTTCTTATAATAACCTTATTTGGTAGGCACTATTATTATCCACGTTTTATAGATGAGGAAACAGGCTGCAGAATTAAGTATCTTGGGCTGGGCGGGGTGGCTCATGCCTATAATCCCAGCACTTTGGGAGGCCGTGGCAGGTGGATCCATGAGGTCAGGAGTTCAAGACCAGCCTGGCTAAGATGGTGAAACCCCATCTTGACTAAAAATACAAAAATTAGCCGGGCGTGGTGGTAGGTGCCTGTAATCCCAGCTACTTGGGAGGTTGAGGCAGGAGAATCGCTTGAACCCAGGAGGCAGTGGTTGCAGTGAGCCAAGATTGCACCACTGCACTTCAGCCTGGGCGACAGAGCGAGACTCCGTCTCAACAACAACAACAACAACAACAACAACAAAAAAGATTTAATTATCTTGCCCAAGTCGCTACTGGCAAGTAGAGGAGCTGAAATTTGTATCCAGGACAACTGACCCAAAGTCTGTCCTTTAACTTTCATTCACACTGCCTCAGAGGAGGCTGATCTTGGCAAAAGGGTTGACAGCCATGCCCTGGGAGCTGGCTTTGGCAGATTGCGATAGGAGGCAGGAATCAGGCAGCCTGCAGAGCAGAGCAGAACTGCATTGTTTCTATTCTCCAGCCTATCTGCTCTATGGTGGTTTCTTATCCTAGAAAGCTACCCTGGACCCTTCCTGTCAAGATCCCCATCTATGTCATTAGGATGCAGGGCATTCTGGTCTATCTCTGTAGACGTCTCTCTACTGTTTCCTGTTCCCTTACTGTTACTCTTGCTGCCAAAGGTGTTGTAGGCCACTTACCTGCTATTATATTACCATATTCTCTCAGTCCTTTACTTGATCATCATGAAGTGGGAGAATAAGCCACTAATCCCCTGCCTTCCAATGTTCTTGGGTTCCAGGAGCCTCCACTCATTTTGAGAATTCCTTTGAGGGTTCATCATATGCAGTGGGTGACATTGCCCTGGCACTGTACTCAGCTCTGTTCTCATACTCAGGCTGGGACACTCTCAACTATGTCACAGAAGAGATCAAGAATCCTGAGAGGTAGGTACTGCACCACCAATTTTCCATAGCAGTGATAGCCATCATTTAATGAGCTACTACTCTGTGACAGACAGCATATCACAACCACCTATGAGGTTAATTTTATCAGCCTCATTTTAATAGATGAGAGGCCTGAGGCTCAGAGAAGTAACTTGTCTATGATCATAGTAACAGGGCTAAAATATGAACTTTCTCATGTATGCTTTGTAAATTTTTTAAAATGCATTTTTACATTTGTTCATTAATTTCTGCATTAATTAAAGCAGGTTGTATTATATGCTTATGTATGTTTTTAAAACAGATTTTCCTTGATAGATATTTCATCCACCCTTATCCCCACATACATAGCTTTGGGATATAGACATCCAGAAACCTTCCTATGTTTCCCTCTGATCCCTTCCTTGTTTCCTAAATTCATATTGACATTGTGGTATAGTTTCAGTCATTCAATTAAGTCACCCCACCATTATTGCTCTGTAGTCTATATATAGAGTGAAAAGAGCACTGGATAGGAAGACAAGGACCTAGAGTTTGTCTTTCCACTGACTTGTGGGCTGACCTTGAGGGAGTTGCCCGGCCATCTCTTTGTCTGCTTCCTTATCTGTAATTGAGGGGGTTAAATTCTGTGACCTCCATGGCCTTTCTTGGCTCTAAAATTCTATGATTCTGGGAACTAAGATTTGCCAGGGAATGGAGTTTTTTAAGAGAGAGTCTTGCTGTATTTCCTAGGTTGGAGTATAATGGCGCAATCTTGGCTCATTGCAACTTCTGCCTCCCAGGTTTAAGTGATTCTCCTGCCTCAGCCTCCCAAATAGCTGGAATTACAGGCACCTGCTACTGCGCCTGGCTAATTTTTGTATTTTTAGTCAAGATGGGGTTTCACCATGTTGGCCACGCTGGTCTCGAACTCCTGACTTCAGGTGATCCGCCTGCCTTAGCCTCCCAGAGTGCTGGGATTACAGGCGTGAGCCACCGTGCCCAGCTCTCTGTAAATGTTTAAGTCAAAAGAATCACAATTCTTATACCAATAAACTCCTTTTGGCTTGAGAAACAGAAGAGCACTCTTGGTACACAACTAGTGGTAACGCTATGGGAGCAGAGATAACAGAAGCAGGATGAAGGCCTGGGTGGTGCTTCCACCTACCGGACAGAAGCTGCATGACTCTGTATTTGCAGAGTATTTGCCCCACTTTGTGCTTCTTTTGGGCAGCCTTACTGTTAAGGATGTTTATAAAGTTCATGGCTTTATTGGTCTACAGGGACCTTGAGAGCTCTTTGCATCTTTCTTTTGCCCACCAGTTAGGATGGCTCCTGAGGTTCTCAAACTGAGGAAGGGGTGGGCAGACATATCTTCCAGGTTGCTTGTCAGATACACACACTTCTCTTCCTACTGAAGGCCTATCTCTGAAGATGTTAAATTTCACAATTTGCCTCCATAATTTCCTTTTATATTTCTCAACCTTGAGACAAAAGTGCCAATGTTGATAATCTTAGAGATGGAATCCTGACACCAAAAGATCTCTGGAGTATAAAACAAAATAACCTCCCATTTTCCTGTGCATTATTATGCTGGGACACTCTTTGTTAATCCTTTTTTTTTTTTTTTTTTTCAGACAGGGTCTGACTGCCTTGCCCAGGCTGGAGTGCAGTGGCCCAGTCATGGTTCACTGCAGCCTTGACCTCCTCGGGCTCAAGTGATCCTTCCACCTCAGCCTCCCAAGTAGCTGGGATTACAGGCATGCGCCACCATGCTTGGCTAATTTTTTGTTTTGTTTTTTTGAGACAGAGTCTCACTGTTACCCAGGCTGGAGTGCAATGACACAATTTTGGCTTACCACAACCTCCACCTCCTGAGTTCAAGTGATTCTCGTACCTCAGCCTCCCAAGTAGCTGGGACTACAGGTGCGTGCCACCATGCCCAGCTAATTATTTATATTTTTAGTAGAGACAGGGTTTTGCCATGTTGGCCAGGCTGGTCTTAAACTCCTGACCTCAGGTGATCCACTTGCCTCGGCCTCCCAAACTGCTGGGATTACAGGCGTGAGCCACCACGCCCGGCTGCTTGGCTAGTTTTTTGTACAGACAGGGTTTTACCATGTTGTCCAGGCTGGTCTCCAACTCCTGGACTCAAGCCATCTGCCCACCTTAGCCTCCCAAAGTGTTGGTACTACGGGCATGAGCCACTGATCCCAGCTGCACAGTCCTATCTCCTAATATGATATTCCTTTCCCCTAATGTTCTTTAGTTCTTAAGTGTTTAGTTCAGAGCTTCAGCCACTATCCAGGGCACCGTCAAAGACAAATGCATTGAGGAAATGTAGCAAGAGTCTCCATCCCTGGAAAGACTGGTGTGGCAGGGAGAGTCTAAGGATTAAAGGAGAGATAGGGATATGACTGTGGGACTAATGTGTATTTTATTCTATTTGGCTGTAGGAACCTGCCCCTCTCCATTGGCATCTCCATGCCCATTGTCACCATCATCTATATCTTGACCAATGTGGCCTATTATACTGTGCTAGACATGAGAGACATCTTGGCCAGTGATGCTGTTGCTGTGGTAAAGGATTTTCACTAGCAGGTTGAGGGTGACTTGTGGGGTACTGGGTATATTCTGGCTCTTGAAAGTCCTGGAAAGGGGGTAGATGGCCTTGGAAGGAGTTCATTTCGAATATGGGGCTTGCAAGAAGGTCCTGTTACCCCCACTGTGGAAGAAGAGTTGGAGTCCTAATAAGGGGAATCTGGGGCATGCCCATCCATGTCTTTCATCCCTTTTAGATCCTGCTAATGACTCTTCCATTCTTTTCCCTTAGACTTTTGCAGATCAGACATTTGGAATATTTAACTGGATAATTCCACTGTCAGTTGCATTATCCTGTTTTGGTGGCCTCAATGCCTCCATTGTGGCTGCTTCTAGGTAAGAGTGGCATCTTTTGAAGGGCTATGGCAGTGGACGGTAGAACTTACAGGACCTGGACTTTGATTACCTGTGTTTTCCAACTGATACCATAACCTCTTTCTTCTTGTTTCTAGCAGAAGCCTGCAGTTGTCATTAATCTTAATACTGAGCTCCAGTCTATATTATCCAAACACTTTTGAAGGAAGGGATGGCAGAGAGGGAGGGCCATGTGGCAGGTGAACCAGGCTGCATCGTGTCCACCAATTTTCTCAGCTTCTCCTATCTTACCTGACATAGGCTTTTCTTTGTGGGCTCAAGAGAAGGCCATCTCCCTGATGCCATCTGCATGATCCATGTTGAGCGGTTCACACCAGTGCCTTCTCTGCTGTTCAACGTAAGTCAGCTCAAGGATGAGACTGAAAATGATTGGGGGGGTGGGGGGAAACTTTAGTAACAGCAGAAGCGACTGTTCTAGCTTCCTGAAAGCTCTAAAAGAAATTCCAATAGAAAAACTATTGGTGGATCAGAATGTTCACCATGGGCAAGGCACTATGCCAACCGCTACAGGCACTACAGGGAAAATCCAAATGCTCTAAGGAATGGTACACCTCTGCTCTAAGAGAAGCCATAAAGTACATGGAATACATTGTAATGATTGATTGCCATGACAGATAGTGAGTGATACAGTATTTAAGAAATGATCACTTCCATGGGAGGAGAGGGTGAATGAAGAATTACTTCTAGAAGTGTATGTGTGTCTTAAAATCCACCAAAATGTTCTCAGAAAAAAAAAAAAAGGTGCATCTTGATGGCTAGGGTTGCAAATGGTAGAGATGGGCTTTAGGTAGGAGAAATAATATCAGAAAATCCTGTGGCAAAGCAGTATGGGTTTTAATACAGTTTGAATATCCAAAATCTGCAATGCTCTAAAAATCTGAAACTTTTTGAGTGTTGACTTGACAGTGGAGCATTTTGGATTTTCAGAATCGGGATATTCAACATGCAGGAGGAGATAAGAGCTGCATAATGTAGGTTGGAGCCATTATGGAAATGGTCCTATGCAAGACTTTTGAGGGATTGTTTCAAGACTTGCTTTATACAGGGTTAGCTTGAAGAATGGGTTGAAAAACCAGTTGAGACTACTGACTTGTAACAGAGGGGATAAGGTATTGAAACTAGAGTGTTAAAGGGATTAAAAACAGAAGAGGACCAGGAGACTCTGAGGATCGACGGGGGATGGATTTGGGAGGTATAAAGGGAGTGAAAAGCCTTTGGAGTAACAAAGGCCCTGAGAAGAGCTGACTTGGGCTCACGCTTACAGGGTATCATGGCATTGATCTACTTGTGTGTGGAAGACATCTTCCAGCTCATTAACTACTACAGCTTCAGCTACTGGTTCTTTGTGGGGCTTTCTATTGTGGGTCAGCTTTATCTGCGCTGGAAGGAGCCTGATCGACCTCGTCCCCTCAAGGTATGGCAACTCCATCCTACCTCTGCTCCATCTGAAACAGCTAGAGTTGCTGCTACAGGGGACTATTACAAGACACTTTATTTAGAAACCTTTGCCTGGGACTTGGTGGTTAGTACTGTGTTGAAATTAAAGGTATGGAAAGAAGGCTCAGTGCGCTAATCTTTATGGGAGGTGTTATTTTAGCTGTTAAGAATCCTGAGTGGTCCACCCCAGTTGTGTTTCCTGTGCCCTCAGCTCAGCGTTTTCTTCCCGATTGTCTTCTGCCTCTGCACCATCTTCCTGGTGGCTGTTCCACTGTACAGTGATACCATCAACTCCCTCATCGGCATTGCCATTGCCCTCTCAGGCCTGCCCTTTTACTTCCTCATCATCAGAGTGCCAGAACATAAGCGACCTCTTTACCTCCGAAGGATCGTGGGTAAGCATTGCATCCTTAAATCAGCTCAGCTATTGTAGAGCTTGGTTTTTGCCTTTTTCTGTAAATCTTGCCTCCAAAGACATTTTTGCCATAGCCCCTTCTTATGAACCCTTCGGCTTAATGGAATCACTCCCCTCAGGCCCAGTTCCATTCAATGACACTTGAACTCAGCCCAGTTGACCTCTTCTCAATTCCAACTCAAAGTTTTCTTTGTAGGGTCTGCCACAAGGTACCTCCAGGTCCTGTGTATGTCAGTTGCTGCAGAAATGGATTTGGAAGATGGAGAAGAGATGCCCAAACAACGGGATCCCAAGTCTAACTAAACACCATCTGGAATCCTGATGTGGAAAGCAGGGGTTTCTGGTCTACTGGCTAGAGCTGAGGAAGTTGAAAAGGAAAGCTCACTTCTTTGGAGGCACCTGTCCAGAAGCCTGGCCTAGGCAGCTTCAACCTTTGAACTTACTTTTTGAAATGAAAAGTAATTTATTTGTTTTGCTACATACAGTTCCAGACTTTTAAAGCGGACAATAGAGGAGACTGGGGAGAGGAGCATGTCAGGTGTGGGCTTGGTGGTTTTAGAAGCACCTGAGTGCGCCTACCTACTCCTCTTTTCTTTTAAAAGGGCCCACAATCCTCCAATTGTCTCCTTTAGAGAGACATCAAACTATCACAGGTGCTGGATGACAATAAAAAGTTATGTTCCTAAAGTCTGAGTGACTTCACTTTATATAGTATCTCTAGGACAGCTCCCATTAGCCTAGAAACACAAAGACTAAAAACAATCTTATGCTTGAAAGTAGATCCATCTTTTCTCTCTCAAGCTAGCTGCTGAAGGCTGATAAACCAGGCTCTACACAAAGGCAGACAACAGAACACTTCAACTGCTCTAGTGAAATGTTGGGTTGTTACATAAAAATGACATGAACTTCCTTTTTGAGACAGGATCTTGCTCTGTGGCCAAGGCTGCAGTACAGCAGCATGATCTTGGCTCACTGCAGCCTCAACCTCCTGGGCTTAAGCTATCCTCCCACCTCAGCCTCCCAGGTAGCTGGGACTATGGGCAAGCACCACCATGCTCAGCTAACTTTTTAGCAGAGACAAGGTCTCGCCATGTTGCCCAGGCTGGTCTCGAATTCCTGGACTCAAGTGATTCACCCACCTCAGCCTCCCAAAGTGCTGAGATTATAGGTGTGAGCCACTTTGCCCAGCCTGGAACTTTCATTCTTAATTATCACTAAGAATTTGCACACATCTACTTCTTGAAATTTTTAAAGTAATCTTGGAATCAAGAAATGCAGTTATTATATTTAGATACAATCTCAACATTCAACTTATCAGCCACACCTCTAGACTGCAATCCAAATGTGGATAGAACAACACATGTATGGGTTGGAAGTTTAAACTTTTTTTTTTTTTTGAAACAGAGTCTTACTCTGTTGCCCAGGATGGAGTGCAATGGCTTGATCTTGGTTCACTGCAACCTCTGCCTCCGAGGTTCAAGTGATTCTCCTGCCTCAACTGCCCAAGTAGCTGGAACTACAGACGTGTACCACCACGACTGGCTAATTTTTGTATTTCTAGTAGAGACAGGGTTTCACTATGTTGGCCAGGCTGGTCTCAAACTCCTGACCTCAGGCCATCTGCCCGTCTCAGCCTCTCAAAGTGCTGGGATTACAGGCGTGAGCCACTGTGCCTGGGTGGAAGTTTAAACCCTTAATGCCAGGTTAAAACATTATATTTTCCAATGCCATGGGCCAGCAAAAGCAATCATGACCCACTCTATTCTTTGGTTTTCTTTTTTTTAGACAGAGTCTCCCTCTGTTGCCCAGGCTGGAGTGCAGTGGCGCAATCTTGGCTCACTGCAACCTCCACCTCCCAGGTTCAAGCAATTCTCCTGCCTCAGCCTCCCAAGTAGCTGGGACAATAGGTGTGCGCCACCACGTGTGGCTATTTTTGTATTTTTAGTAGAGATGAGGTTTCCCCACGTTGGCCAGGCTGGTCTCAAACTCCTGACCTCAGGTGATCCGCCCGCCTCGGCCTCCCAAAGTCCTGGGTATTCTTCAGTTTTCTGAAGCACACACTCATTTCCCTGTTCAATAAGTATCAGGAAGCAGCATGTAGTACAGAGGTTTACTAACTCTGTGAATGGGAAGATCACTTGGCTACCCAGTGCTCTCTTATAAACATGAGTATAAGAGTGTTTCGTGAAATTGTTTTTAAAATGAACATCTCTGTGTGCCACAGTTCCTAGGACTGAGGCAAGGACACAGTGTCAAGTCTTGTTTTGAGGATGAGTCTTTGAAGAGACAGAGTTCCTGCCAGAATGCGCACGGAACGTAAGTCAGCCAAGCGTGTCGCGCCAGGGATACTTTGACTTTGGTTTGCTGCTGCTGCTGCTGCTGCTAGGGATATTGGGAGGGTTATTATTTCCAGGTTGTAGGAGAGGGTTGTGGGTAAAGGTCTGTCGTAAGGGACCTGAGGGGAGAAGAGAAAACAAATCTCAACGAAGAACAGAAAGAAGAAACAAAAGACAGAATTTTGGCCTGAAAGGACTATTTACCCCTGGCTGCTAGCTCCAAGTGATTCTGCATGCGTTGTTCACGCTCTCGCAGCTGACGCGCCATTTCAGCATTTTTCCAGCCTGTGTAAAGAGAAGCAAGAGAGTCACTTGCATTCCTAGTTGTAGACCCCTCTCCCTAGTCCTGTTTCACAGAGGACGAGCCCTTACCTTTTTTGAAGCTCTCTAGGAAGCCTTCCCGTGGAGGTAATTTGTCAGGGTCATGTACAACACGCTGGGGGATTTTAAGTACAGTGCGTACTGCTGAAATCCGGAGACAGGATACTTGGCCCAGGGAAAACAAATTGGAGGAGAGCCAGTATATAAACACTGCCTGGGTGAGAACACAGAGAGGGGACTCAGAAGCTGTATCCCTGGTGAGCTTGCTAGGTGGCTAGGCTAGGCAGAAGGCCTTGGAGCCAGCCCATAAGGCATTACATACCGTGGGGAAATGCATGGTTACGGGCAAGGCTATCAGGGGCATCACTCTGATCACATTTCTCATCCACTGAAGGTCAGAACTTTGCACACCTGTCTCAGCACCTAGCTGCCAAAAGAAGCGGGGTAGAAAAGTCGGGAAAGCTGTCAGTTTCAGTGAACCTGTCTCTAATCTCTTACCCATCAACTCTTTCTCCAGCAAGTGAAGGATGACCATTCTGTACAATTACTTTACCCTCCAATCCCAGTTCACTTTGCAGGCCTGGCACTTGGCCAATCTGGGCTTACCTCAAGGACAGCCCACATTGTAGCAGTGACTACCAGTGGTAACACGTAGGTGGGATCGGATACCGTGAGATCCTGGAACCACCAGAGGCCACCTGTCTGCAGGCTGGCCACAGGAAGGTTGGCCATCTCTCTCAAAGCAATGAAGAAGGAGAGGAAGATTGGGGCCTATTACACAAGATAAACAGTGTCAGCATGCTTTACCAGAGGAAACATTTTCATCACCCCACTACTGAAAGCCATGTATAATCCACCACCACCTGTTTTTTTGGGGGGGCCTGGGGCACATCAAACACAGAGAGGAAATTTGATGGGTATAGGATGAAATAAGGAAGGAAATGTTTTTGCTCACCTGAGTCAGAGGAAGAATGAGAGGTTTAAAGAGTTTAATACCATGTTTTTTCTGGTAAAGTGCCATCTCCGAGGAAGCCTTGTAAACTGTGAGGTGAGAGGAAATTAATGGTTGGGGTAACAGTTACATCAGTGGAGGTGAACATCCTCATCATCTACCTGGCCTGTGAAATTTCTAACCAACCCTGGCCAGTCCTTGGGAGCATTAGGCCCAAGAAACAGATAAATCTTTAGAACTTTCCCGACTGTGGCAACTTCTGATTCACATTGTTCCTTTCCCCCAGCAGAATGTAAGGAAAAGTGCAAATGTGGTCCTCTCCCACGGTCATTCTGCAGCTGACTCACACTCAGTATCATCTCCCGCCAACTTGGCCTCTCTGACTCGACTGGAAAACTTCTGGATCTCTGGCAAGTGATTGTGGATCTTGGCTGCCTCTCGCTGGCCCACCACGATGAGAGGAAAAATGAGGCAGCGGGCAAAGACTGTACCTGGAAAATACAAACTAGGATTGGAGTGAAATTAAAGCAGTTCTGCAGCTAGAAGGTTGAAGGTTTTTAGGTCCTTATTGAAAGGGTCTTATTCTTGCCTTGTCCATTCTGTGACTTATGGCTAAGAGGCCCAGAATTAGGGTCAGGGGTATGAATTAGTTGCTTTAAGGCTCAGTTCTCTGATTTGGCATCACAAAAGTATGGCATTAACTTCTCTAAGCAGATGATTAGGAATCCTGTTTGTTTCCTCAAACAAAAAGGTGACAGGAGCACTTTTCTAGATCAATAGCTTCCAAACTTTTCTGTGATCAAAAGAGCCTCCCTGCTCCATCAAACTGTACACGTAGCCCCAATGTCCAAAAAAAAAAAAAAAAAAAAAAAAAAAAAAATGCTGCCCTGAGCAAACGAAAAGCCTGGCCACAGGATTGTTTATGTGGCAGCCTTCACCTTGCTCAGAGGTCCCTTTACAAAACCCTGGGGCTTCTAGGAAGGAAGTTTGAAAGCCATTGTTCTAGAAATCCCTGGAGTAGGAAATAATCTGATGGCCTACTGCTTTAGCTCCTTCATATTTCTTTTCTGACACTTCATTTTTCCTGGTCATTCGTTTTGATTTTTAGATCCCACAAATAAGTGAGAACATGGTGATGTCAAATACGAGACTAGGTTATAGGTTTAGGCTTTATCAACATTATGATGAATGATGTGGAGTAGAAAGAGAAGGGAGCTAAGGATAGAACCCAGACTACTGGCACTGAACGGGTAGGTAGGATAATTTGGAGATGCAAAAGTATGGTCAGAAAGACAGGGAGAAAAATCAGGAAACGTTATCATAAAAGCCAAAGGATTGACTTTATTTTTAATGAACAGAGTCTCGTTCTATTGCTCTGTCGCTCAGGCTGGAGTGCAGTGGCGCCATCTTGGCTCACTTCAACCTCTGCTTCCCAGGTTCAAGCGATTCTCCTGCCTCAGCCTCCCGAATAGCTGGGACTACAGGCGCCTGCCACCACACCTTGCTAATTTTTGTATTTCTAGTAGAGATGGGGTTTCACAATATTGGCCAGGCTGGTCTCAAACTCCTGACCTTGTAATCTTCCTGCCTTGGCCTCCCAAAGTGCTGGGATTACAGGCATGAGCCACCACGCCTGGGAAAAGATTGATTTTAAGGTCTAAAGTGTCTAATGCAGAAAGACCAAGTATAATAAAAGTGGATTTAGCAATTAGGTTACTGGCAGTTCAAATGAGGTGATATGAGTAAAAGCCAGATGGCTGAGAGAGTAAATGGAAAGAAGTGGGCTCATTGGATGCAGAGCAATCTTTTAAGTAATAGCTATCAAAAGAACGAAACCCAGTCATTTGTGACAACGTGGATGGAACTGGAGATCACTATGCTAAGTGAAATAAGGCAGGCACAGAAAGACGAACATCACCATGTTCTCACTTATTTGTGGGATCTAAAAATCAAAACAAATGAAATCATGGGCAGAGAGTAGAAGGAAGGTTACCAGAGGCTGGGAAGGGTAGTCAGGGTTGGGAATAATTAATGGGTAAAAAAAAATTAGTTAGAAAGAATAAGATCTACTATGTGATAGCACAACAGGGTGACTATAATCAGTAATAATTGTATATTTTAAAATAAAGAATGTAAAAATTAGCCAGGTGTGGTGGTACACCTGTAGTCCCAGCTACTTGGGAGGCTGAAACATGAGAATCACTTGAACCTGGGAGGTGGAGGTTGCAGTGAGCCGAGATTGGGCCACTGCACTCCAGCCTGGGTGACAGAGCAAAACTCTGTTTAAAAAAATAAAATAAAATAAAATATAAAGTGTAATTGGATTCTTTGTAACTTAAAGGATAAGTGCTTGAGGGGATGGATATCTCATTCTCCATAATGTGATTATTACACCTTGCAGGCCTGTATCAAAACATCTCATGTAGCCCATAAATATATACACCTACTAGGTATCCACAAACAACAACAAAACAAATAAATAACAGCCATGAAAGGAAGAAGAAAGATAGGGTAGTAGGTGAAGGGGAACTAAGAATGAAGGGAAGAAATTTTCCCCCAAGTAACACATGGGTATGCTTGAGCATGCTTACATGTGCAGGGCAGGGCAATAAGGAGGGAAACGTTGAAGACACAGGGGAGAGAAGAGATCATTGATGGAGCAAAGTGGCAGAGAGACACATAATTCAAAGCAGAGTTTCAGCCTTTACAAAAGCAATGCGAGTGGCCTCCCAATTTGGGGGTTTAAGTGCCTGACTTGAACCTCTGTTCTTCTAAACCAGGACAGCCTCATGACTGTTAATAAGGTCCCCCGACTCTAACCCCATGTTTGTATTCGAATATCTATACTTCTTGAATCCCAGATGATCTGGTGGTTTTATAATGCTCTTTAAGAAATATAGGTAGACTGCATCTAGGTATCGTGTGCCTCTATCACTCATTTGAAATCATCTGCTCTTCTGATCCCAGAGCTTCTGCAACTACTTCCTGAATCCATTCAAATAATTGCCATCTATGAGGTTCTATCCCTAACCCATGTATAGGGTATATTCCCCTTACATGCAGCAATGGCCCCCCACCAAGGTAGGCCCAGGTCAACATGCATAAATTCCAGTAAATTCTGGATCAGTCCCACTGGGGTGTGTGACCCCAGCCCCAGTTCAGCGAAGCTCTGCTCTGCAGCAGCTTGGACTACATCTGCAGTCTCTCCAGAAGCCACCTCAGGTACCGCTGCGGGTGAGGGAGTTGCAGGAGCAACAGGAGGGGCCTGAACCTGTGTGAAAGAAAGCCTTGTATATTTATTCAGTAGTGAACACATAGAAAGTGAGACCTTCTTAAAATAACCAGTACTGGGTTCTGTTCTCTCTACTTCTTGTTCTTCCAGGTTACCCTAGTGTACATAGAATTCAAGCTTAAAAAGGACATCTCATTTTTATCAATAGGTAGGAAGAGAAGTTACTTTGAGTAAGATTCCATGACTTCCCTTCATGCTGGGAAGTTATTTCTTTTATCACTGTTTCCCAAACTTCAGCCATTTGAATATCACTATTATGATTTTTACCATATATTAACATGAAACAATTACTTTTCTTTAAAACAGCTCAGAAAACCAAATATAACATCTCTCCTGTTGTACTTCCAACCATTTCCCCACTGAATTGAAAATTCATCCCAAGCAGAGATGCTACCGTTTTGGAGAGCTGTGTGGAGCGTGGACAAGAACTCTGCTTCATATTCCCCCTGCTCCCAAACAAAACAGAATATGAAACCAACCGGGAAACACCACTCCTAATATTGCAGGAACAAAAGGCCTCTTACCTGGACTTCTGCAAACGAGATGGCAGAGGTACTGAGGCTGCGGGGGCCGGAAGCCGCAAGGAAGAGGTAGTGTGGGCGACAGCAGCACCGGGCTGCTGGGAATAGGAGCCGTGCGGTCAGCGGTTTCCCGAGCCATTGCGAGGGCCCTGTGACGCTGTGGACCTAAGCGTGTAAAAGGATGATGGAGCCCCTTTACCGGGAGCAGAAGTCCTCGCGTAGGGGCAAAGGGGATTCGTTATGCTAACTTCCCAAAAAGCAAGCAGCCCGGCCACTACAGGTGCAGACATTGCTTTTACCGCGCGCAGACCGCTAGCCCGAAGGCATGCAGCTGGTGATGCCTGCAGAGCAAAGGCTGAATCCGGGTTCGCCGCATCTCAGTTATCGTAGACCCGCATCGGGGGGCCCTGAGAACTAGGCCGAGGTGCTGTCGCCAGGGGCGAAGCCAATTCCAGAAGCTGACACCGGGCTGCTGGGCCCACAGTGTTGGGGACTAACCCTAGCGCGTCCTCACAAGACCCGAGGTCATGACATTCAGGTCCCGGTGAGCGGGTCAGCGTCTGCTCATATCCCTAGCACGAGCTGTCCTGGGGCTTGGTTCACTGGGTGAGGGCAGCATCCCGGTGCTCAGCCCCGGGGCATCCTTACCCGACGCCCGGACTGTAGCAGGCGCAGAACCTCCCGGCGTCCGCACATCAGTCCCATCGCCATTTTGTCCGGAAGAGGACTTACTTTTGCGCCTGCGCACTAAGAACCACAATCCCGCGAGAGGAAGCACTTTTGGAAGCGGGCATGAAGCCAGAGTTGTTGCCGTAGATCAGGTGGTAAAAGAGAACGGAGCTTGGCGGCCATATTTGAAGTGGGTAAAAATCTGAAAAGCCGCGTTACCATGAGCACGCAGAGAGCCTTTTCTGGAGATTGAAAGGAAGTGGAAGAGCCAGGTTAGCTATCATCGTAAGCTATCATCGTTTGTGATGGCGTAAACCTGGGTAATTTTCCTCTAATGTCGCGATTGTCCTCTGATTCGTCAGTTTAAAAATAGCCTCAGAAAAGTCTTGGCTGTACTTGCAGAGGATTTTTCCCACTCAATGATGTTCGATTCTTTTGATTCTTATTGCTAGGTAAATTGTAATCGCAGGTCCAATGAAATTTGAGGGTAGTCTAGAATCTGACAGAAATGAAGAGAAGGCAGCCGCTGGGAAATATTTTCCTCCCAGATAAAAAGACAAAGCTTCCAGAGACTTCACCTTTCCATTTTTTCTTCTGTAAGTGGGGTGGTGTGAGGACTGACCATGAGGGGACAAGTTTCGAGATGAAAAGCTCACGTGCAGGCCGGGCGCGGTGGCTCAGGCCTGTAATCCCAGCACTTTGGGAGGCCGAGGCGGGTGGATCACGAGGTCAAGAGATCGAGACTAGGATATCCTGGCCAACATGGTGAAACCCCATCTCTACTAAAAATACAAAAATTAGCCGAGCATTGTGGCGGGCGCCTGTAATCCCAGCTACTTGGGAGGCTGAGGCAGGAGAATCACTTGAACCCGGGAGGCAGAGGTTGCACTGAGCCGGGATTTTGCCACTGCACTTAAGCCTGGCGATAGAGTGAGACTCCATCTCAAAAAAAAAAAAAAAAAAAAAAAAAAAGAAAAACTCACGTGCTGAAGATGGTTGAGGGCAAAGATAGAAAACACCCAAATACTTGATGATATCATTGAGCTGATGTACCATGCTTGGAACCGTCTATCTCCAGACTTTGTTGTGTAAGGTAATTAAAGGTCTTAGCAGGGTGCAGTGGCTCACGCCTGTAATCTCATCACTTTGGGAGGCCAAGGCTGGTGGATTACTAGGTCAAGAGATCGAGACCAGCCTGGCCAACATGGTGAAATCCCATCTCTACTGAAAATACGACAAACAAAAAAACTAGCCGGGCGTGGTGGTGCGTACCTGTAGTCCCAGCTACTAGGGAGGCTGAGGCAGGAGAATTGCTTGAACCCAGGAGGTGGAGGTTGCAGTGAGCTGAGGTGGAGCCACTGCACTCCAGCCTGGGCGACAGAGTGAGACTCCATCTCAAAAAAAAAAAAAAAATAAAAAAGGCCGGGCGCGGTGGCTCAAGCCTGTAATCCCAGCACTTTGGGAGGCCGAGACGGGCGGATCACGAGGTCAGGAGATCGAGACCATCCTGGCTAACACGGTGAAACCCCGTCTCTACTAAAAAATACAAAAAACTAGCCGGGCGAGGTGGCGGGCGCCTGTAGTCCCAGCTACTCGGGAGGCTGAGGCAGGAGAATGGTCTAAACCCGGGAGGCGGAGCTTGCAGTGAGCTGAGATCCGGCCACTGCACCCCAGCCTGGGCGACAGAGCAAGACTCTGTCTCAAAAAAAAAAAAAAAAAAAAAAGGAAAAAAAAAGATAATTAAAGGTCTTTACTGTTTAGACTCTAAATCTGTTGCTTGGGTGTTCTGTTTCTTGAAGTTAAAAGCATTCATCTCCAGGGAAAAAACTTACTGCTCAGAAAAGTGGAGTTCATTATATTTGAACCATTATAAAGTCTCTCAATATGCAGATTACTTTCTAAACAACAAACTATAGTTTCAGAAAGATACAATAACCTGAAATTATTTCAGTGACTGCTAATTTGGGACAATTATGAATGTACCTGACAGATACGGCAAAAATAGGAGGCAAAGAAATATAATACTGATTTAGTAATAATTAATGGTATGAGCTGACACTTGCATATGTTGGATGCTATTGTAAACATCAATAGATTTTTGATATGGAAACACTGATTTTTTTTTAGAGATTACTTTTAAAACTCAATACAATTAGAAGTAATTGCAAATATACAGCTACAGAACACTTGGCAGGGTGACTATCTTATGGTACACTGCTACTTTGGTGACCCCAAATGAACCAGGCTTCACAATATGTGCACCTTTAGGAGTTCTATTCTCTTGAGTCTGGTTGGCCCTGTAACTTGCTTTAATCAATAGTAGAATGCATTGGAAGTGATGTTATGCCAGTTTGGGACTATGCCTTAAGAAGGCCTGATAGCTTCTGCTTTTGCATTCAGGGGAAAGCCAGCTGCTGTGTTAGAATTTTGACTTCTCAGACTTACTGCCTGTGAAAAGCCCAACCAACCACTTGTAGAAGAACGGAGGTTTGGGCTAACAGCCTCAGTTGAACCCTCAGCCAGCAATCAACACCAGCTTTTGCCAGCCACGTGAAGAAGGCCATTTAAAACGTGGATTCTCCAGCCCATTGGAGCCACCTCAGGTGACTCCGTGTGGAGCAAAGAAAGGCTATTTGAGCCCACATTGCAAAATTACAAGCAAATAAATAAAATTATTGTGGTTTTAAGCCACTAAGTTTTGGAGTACTTTGTTGTTCAATAATAGATAGCTGAAATGTACAGGCAAACTTGGGAGATACTATGGGTTGGGTTCCAGACCACTACAATAAAGCCAATATCATAACAAAGTGAGTCACAGGGAGTTTTTTGTTTTGCAGTGCATATAAAAGTTATGTTGGGCTGGGCGTGGTGGCTCAGGCCTGTAATCTCAGCACTTTGGGAGGCTGAGGCAGGTCGATCGCTTGAGCTCAGGAGTTTGAGACCAACCTGGGTAACATGGTAAGACCCCATGTCTTAAAAAAAAAATTACTAGGCCAGGTGCAGTGGCTCATGCCTGTAATCCCACCACTTTAGGAGGCCGAGGAGGGTGGATCACCTGAGGTTGGGCGTTTGAGACCAGCCTGACCAACATGGAGAAACCCCATCTCTACTAAAAATACAAAATTAGCCAGGCTTGGTGGTGCATGCCTGTAATCTCAGCTATTTGGGAGGCTGAGGCAGGAGAATTGCTTGTACCTGGGAGGCGGAGGTTGCAGAGAGCCGAGATCGTGCCATTGTACTCTGGCCTGGGCAACAAGAGCGAAACTCCATCTGAAAAAAAAAAAAAAGTGGCCAGGTGAGGTGGCTCATGCCTGTAATCCCAGCACTTTGGGAGGCCAAGGCCAGTGGATCACTTGAGGTCAGTACTTTGAGACCAGCCTGGCCAACGTGGTGAAACCCATCTCTATTAAAAATATAAAAGTTAGCCAAGGATGGTGGTGGGCACCCGTAATCCCAGCTACTTGGGAGGTTGAGACAGGAGAATTGCTTGAACCTGGGAGGCGGAGGTTGCGGTGAGCCAAGATCGTGCCATTGCACTCCAGCCTGGGCGACAAGAGCGAAACTCTGTCTCAAAAAAAAAAAAAAAAAAAAAAAAAGAAAAAGTTATGTTTACCCTATACTGCAGTCTCTTAAGTGTGCAATAACATGTTTAAAACACAATGTACATACCTTAATTTGAAAATATTTTATTACTTAAAAATGTTGACGATCATTTGAGCCTTCAGCAAGTCATATTTTTCCTTGATGTTGGTTGACTGATCAGGGTGGTGGTTGCTGAAGGTAGGGGTGGCCTAAAATAAGACAGTGAGATTTGCTCCGTCAATTGACTGTGCCTTTCATGAAAGATTTCTCTATAGCATGTGATGCTGTTTGATAGGATTTTACCCATGGTAGAATTTCTTTCAAAATTGGAGTTAGTCCTCTCAAACCCTGCTGCTGCTTTGTCAATTAAGTTTATGTGATATTTTAAATCTTTTGTTGTCATTTCAACAATGTTCATAGCATCTTCACCAGGAGTAGATTTCTTCTCAAGGAACCACTTTCTTTGTCTAGAAGAAGCAACTCCTCATCTGTTAAAGTTTTATCAGGAGATTGTAGCAATTCAGTCACATCTTCAGGTTCCACCTCCAATTCTAGTTCTCTTGCTGTTTCTACCACATCTGCAGTTACATCCCTCCATGAAGTCTTAGACCCCTCAACATCAACCATGAGGGTTGGAATCAACTTCTTCTAAACTCCTGTTAATGTTGATATTTTCACCTCCTCCCATGAATCACAAATGCTCTTAATGGCATCTAGGATGGTGAATCCTTTCCAAAATGTTTTCAATTTACTTTGCCCAGATCCATCATAGGAATTGCTATCTATGGCCGCCATAGCTTTACAAAATATATTTCTTAAATAATAGACTTGAAAGTCAAAAGTAGTTCTTGATCCACTGGCTATGGAAATATTTTGTGTTAGCAGGCATGAAAACAACATTAATCTCCTTGTACATCTCAATCAGAGCTATAGGGTGACTAGGTGCACTATCAGTGATCAGTAATTTTTTTTTTTTTTTTTAAATGGAGACTGAGTCTTGCTGTGTTGCCTAGGCTGGTCTCGAACTCCTGGCCTCAAGTGATTTTCCTGCCTTGGTCTCCTTAAATGTTGCCTGTAATCTAGTGATTACAGGCATGAGCCACTGTGCCCAGCCTGCAATAATATTTTGATAGGAATCTTTTTTTCTGAGGGGTAGGTGTCAAGAGTGAGCTTAAATTATTCAGCGAACTGTAGGGTAAACAGATATGCTGTCATCCAGGCTTTGTTGTTCCCTTTATGGAAAACAGGCAGAGTAGATTTCGCATATATATATAAATATATATTTTTAAAGAGACAAGATCTCTTTCTGTTGCCCATACTGGAGTGCAGTGGCATGATCATGGCTCACCGTAGCCTTGACCTCCCAGGTTCAAGTGATCTTCCTACCTCCCAGGTTCAAGTGATCTTCCTGCCTCAGGCTCCTGAGTAACTGAGACTACATGTGCAACTAATTTTTGTGTTTTTTTGTAGAGATAGGGCTTTACCATGTTGCCCAGGCTGGTCTCAAACTCCTGAGCTCTAGTGATCTACGCAGCTACCTTGGTGCGTCCCAAAGTGTTGGGGGTTACAGGTGTGAGCCAGCATGCCTGTCTCGACAGTTTTTTTTTTTTTTTAGCACTTTAAATGTATTATCCCACTGCCTTCTGGCATCCAAGGTTTCTGCTGAGAAAATGGCCAATAGTTTTTTTTTTGTTGTTATTTATTTATTTATTTATTTTTTTTCCAGAGTGATTGGACTTCAGCTGATAGTGTTATTGAGGATCACTTGTACATTATGAGTTGCTTCTCTCTTGCTGCTGTCAAGATTCTCTGTCTTTCAACAGTTTGATTATAATGTGTCTCAGTGTGAGTCTCTTTGGATTTATTTTACTTGGAGTTTATTGAGATTCTTGGATTTGTAGATTAGTGTTTTTCATCAAATTTGGGAAGTTTTCAGCCATTTCTTCAAATAATCCTTTTGCCCCTTTCTCTATCTCCTCTTTGGGAATTGTAATGCATATGTTGGTCTACTTAATGGTATTCCACAAGTTCCTTTGTCTCTGTCAACTTTTCTTTTTTTTTTTTTTTTTGAGAGTTCCTCTGTGCCAGGTGGAGTCATGCTGATCTCAGCTCATGAGCTCGCTCGGGTTCACCCTTCTCCTGCTCACTCCGAGTGCTGGGCAGGCGCCGCCCTCGCCGGCTATTTTTTGTATTTTTAGACGGTTCACTGTTTCACCAGATGTCTCGATTCCTGCTCGTGATCCCTCTCGGCTCCAAGTGCTGGTTCAGCTTGACCGGCCCTTTTCTTTTCTTTCTTTTTTTTTTTTTTGGGGATAGAGCCTCACTGTGTTGCCCAGGCTAGAATGCAGTAACACAATCTTGGCTCACTGCAACCTCTGCCTCCCAGGTTCAAGCAATTTTCCTGCCTAAGCCTTCTGAGTAGTTGGGATTACAGGCACTCATCACCATGCCCAGCTAATTTTTGTATTTTTAGCAGAGATGAGATTTTGCCATGTTGGCCAGGCTGTTTTTGAACTCCTGACCTCAAGTGATCCACCCGCCTTGACCTCCCAAAGTGCTGGGATTACAGGCATGAGTCACCTCACTTGGCCTATCCACTTTTCTTTATTTTTCTTTATGCTCCTCAGATTTGAAAATTTCAACTGTCCTATTTTCAAGTTCACTGATTCTTCTGTGTTTGAGCTCCTCTAGTGAATTTTCATTTCAGTTATTGTGTCTTTCAGCTGTAGAATTTCTGTTTAGCTCCTTTTTACAATCTTTGTCCCTTTCTTGGTATTCTAATTTTGTTAATATACCATTTTCCTGATTTCCTTTAGTTTTTTGTCCATGTTTTCTTTAGCTGTTTGAGCAAATTTAAGATAATTGTTTTAAAGTCTTTGTTTGGTGAGTCTAATGTCTGGGTGTCCTCAGAAATGGTTTCTGCCAATTAATTTTACTCCTTTGAATGTGCCATGTTTTCCTGTTTCTTTGTATGCCTTGTAATTTTTGTAGTTTTGGTTGGAAATTAGACATTTGAGAAAACAGCTAACTCCCCTAGTCTTTGCAGATTGGCTCTATACTGGTACAGTTCTTCGACAATGAGCGAGGCTTGCTTTGAGCCTAGGGATCAGCTGAGGTGAAGGCTTAAGGTCTTTTCAGGGCTTTTCTGACCAAGTGTCTTACCTGGGCATGTGTAACTTCCCAATTTCCCCATATACATGGCTGCTTTTGAATGTCTTATTTCCTAAAGAGTCTCAGTCCAGTTTCTCCTGGGGCCTTAGATGGTCTACTGTATGTATCCACCCATAGTCTTTTACTCCATATGTCAGTGGGTCTGTAGTCTCCTTGCAGCTTTCATGAGCAATGACTACCACTTTTCTGAGACCTGAGGCCAGTCCTTTAGGTAACCCCCATATGTACACAATAATTTGCGAAAAGCTTTGCTCTTCTCCCTTCCATTTGAGGGAGGGAACTTGGAATTAGGCTGCTGCCTCTTCCAGACTAAGAGCACTGCCACATCAGGGAGGAGGAGGGGGCAAGGGCAAATAAAAACACCACAAAACTTTCTCAACATTTTGAAGGTGGGCATTCACTTGGTTACTGTAAACTTTTAACTGTTTTTTGGAGCTCTTACATGTTAGTTCAGCTGATTTCTGGTTGTTTTATGAAGTTTCTGTGGGATAATGAAAGCTTGGATTATCCCACCAAATGGTTGGATTATCCCACCCAACAAATGGTGGCTTTGTCGTCCACCATTTTGCTGACATCACATGAGCATCCATCTTGATAGAAGAAAAGAGCAAATTGGACCTTAAGTAAGTATAAGAAAAGAAATAGAAAGATAAGAGAAGAGGCTGGGCACAGTGGCTCACACCTGTAATCCCAGCACTTTGGGAGGCTGAGGTGGGCAGATCACCAGAGGTCGGGAGTTTGAGACCAGCCTGACCAACATGGAGAAACCCCGTCTCTACTAAAAATACAAAATTAGCTGGGCATGGTGGCGCATGCATGTAATCCCAGCTACTCGGGAGGCTGAGGCAGGAGAATTGCTTGAACCCGGGAGATGGAGGTTGCAATGAGCCAAGATCACGCCATTGCACTCCAGCCTGGGCAACAGGAGTGAAACTCCATCTCCAAAAAAA